TACATGACAATAAATATTATAGTTGCAGCGTAACGTATGGATTAAAGAATGTATTTGATAATTTGAAAACGAGGCAGGCGAAGACAAACAAATATAAATCAATTTATATCTTGAAACAATTCAATGCCGTTGCAACATCATTGCACCTGCTCTTTCTATACAATGCACTGCACTGCATGTGTGTGATGTGTGCTGTGCATGCATGTCCTATTCCGTCCCTCTGTCTCGTTTTTTTGTGTAAGGTTTCCTTCATCTTTATTATTTTTGAAAAGATTAATTCAATCAACAAAACAAAATTTTAAAAGTAATTTTTTCAATTGAAACAAATTCATCACAATAACATGTAAGAAGATATTTGGACGAAATTCACATACTGTTTATTATTGTGCTTGGAAGAAAGAGGAAAATAAATTAAGGAGCTGCATGCATTCTCGAGAAGGATGCAACAAAAATTCATTCAAAAACACAAAAAAATGACGGAATTGTGACAGAAACATTCAGATTATTATTATTATTATTATTTGAGTTTCTTCATTGATTTCTGCGCAATATGTTCTAATACACAGGTTTTCATCCTTGCCCTATTAAATGGCATATATATATACAGACAATGATACAATGAATAAATAAATGCATGTCAATAGCAACAGTGTGAAAAACTGATCAGGTAGAATGAGCTTCAGGCGGCATTCATCATTATTGCAATGTAATGACCGATCGATTTATTAATTATTACAGACAAAAAATTATGAATAAAATAAATTGTACATGTTTTATAAAACCGAGCATATCATAATTTAAATGATAATCACAAAAAATGCAAGTTCAATTAAGGAGGTTCTAGATAACAATTGCTGCACATCAAATTGATATTAATCTTAATAACTGTTCTCTGTGTCTTTGACAGTTAACAGTTAGATGGTTTGCTCTATTAACAACAAATCCAATATAAATACTCAAATATGCATAATAAAATAAAAGTTAAAAATGGAAGCTTAGAAAGAGAATAATCCAAACATAATTTACGACTGTTGAGATAGGCAGAATGATGCAACACTTGAAAATAAATTGCCCTCAATTAATGAGTTAACAGTTAGATGGTTTGCTCTATTAACAACAAATCCAATATAAATACTCAAATATGCATAATAAAATAAAAGTTAAAAATGGAAGCTTAGAAAGAGAATAATCCAAACATAATTTACGACTGTTGAGATAGGCAGAATGATGCAACACTTGAAAGAGAATAATTATTTTATTTACATTGCAAACTCATTTTTAATGAGTCAAATGAGTGTTTGAATAAATAAAAATTAATTCACATGTCGGTTGTTGGTAGAGCTACTTACAATTACAATTAGCGGTGCTGTCCAAAGTTTTTGAGAGGAGTTTGCACCTGTGAGGACATATTTTTTGCTTCATTCAACAATTTGTCAAAACTTTCGGATTTTGCAGTTTGTCAAATTGTATTGTTGTTGAGTGGCTGCAAATGTTCAAAATCAAATTTTCTGTAAATACTTTGTGAAATTTCACCTTAACTGTGAAGAGCTACAACTCCGAAGCATCGCATGGTTACACTTGTGCTCATAAAGTTCATTAAAATAATACATCTATTCAACACATTTACCGACAGAAAAGTGAACGGATTACTGGAGGAACATAACAAGACATTATTAATAAATTGAGCAAAATAAGAGTCTCAAATTAAATTAGATATTTTACGCCACAAACTCTGCTTAAAATGTAACAAAATAAATTTATAACGTAGGTGGGTAAGTTGGCGTGGTTCGCAATGATGCCAAAAATGATTGATACAAAACAATTTGATATGAGCGTGTACTTATATATACAGTGTGTGTGCTTGTGTGTATGTGTGTGTGTGTGTGTGTGTGTGTGTATGAGCCAATGTGTGTGTGTATGTGTTTGAAAGAGTAAGTATGTATAAAGTGTATAAATTGTATGTGTGTATGAAGAAGTTAGTTTCTAGGTGTCGTTACAAAAGCAAAGAAACAGGACATTACTGAAAGAACATGATACATTGATACATGCAGCCTGCAGACTAATAAAACATTACTTATGACCAGAAAGTTTCACAAAAGATTAGGAATGTATCATTGCACGGATTAATGAGTCAGAGATTACAATAACACTACATTACATTAACTACGTAAGACAATAAAAAAAAACATCAACTCCTTGTAACACTAAACTACGTTTAATTACATCAACATAAGTAATGCCGCATTTCCTCACATCAGCATAATCTCACATTATGATTAGAGTCGGATTCATGATTAAAGATTTCAAAAACGTTTCACTGTTCTACAGATGAAACATCCATGAAAACTGCTCTGCTGAATTTGAAAACATAACAAATATATGAAGAAAAAAAATCTCTTCTAGGTAAAAATTTAATCTCATATATAAAATATTCTCAATGAAAAAGCGTTGACGCATAGCGGAAACATAGGTCAGGGAGTATTTCTTCATTTAGTTCGTACGAAGATTATAGCACCTCAACAATTGATTCTTTTTTTTAATTACACAAAAAGTTATTCATTTCAATTAGCCAGCACAGCGCAAAGAATTAACGCCACATACTGCACGTAAGTAAAATAAACGTCCGTCTCGCGTCTCTTATATTGGTTCATAAACGTGTCATGATATGATTAGGAATGATTTTTCTTAAAATTTTATAAAATAAGTTTTAATAATAAAATGCATCACTTAAAAACATACTCTCAGAGAAGTTAAATAAGAATGCGGTGAGTTAGCAAAAGTGCAAAGCAAGACAATCTCAAAATGAACAAGTCAGGGATATGTAGTTCCTCACGCATCCATGCACTCTCTCATCCAAAAATCCACACATATCTACATCCACACATTCAAGCATCCATACATCCAAACATATCTACATCCACAGATCCACACAGCTTGCTGGCCGACAGTTTCTACTGATGGCTCGAAAATAAAAAATTAATGCATATGCAGCCGTTAATGTATTATGTCATTTTGTCGATTTCAAATCAACAGAGTTCTGCAACAACGACCAAACACCTCTTCAAAAAACAATGAAAATCCTCACGGCACGGAATGGTTGCAAAAAGAAATTCTACTAAAAAAGTTGTCAATAACTTCAATGCAATAATAAAAATAATAACAATAATAATTTCACCGCAAATTAAGATTAACTGGAATAAATAGCATGTGCAAGAATGAAACGTACAAGTGCAAAATTAACGAAACCATAAGAACCGGAAGGAAATATTTGAAAAAAAAAAACTGAATTTTTCGTGAGCATAAGTTTGAAACTTCAGAGAGGTGATGATTTTGTTGACCTCGTCCATGATTCATCATACAAAATTCTGGTTGCATGTGGATTAGATGCTGGGTTTGGGTGTTTTTTTATTCCATTTCAAACATTTTTAAACCAATTTTTAAAAAATTTCAAAATTAGAAACATGTTGATGAAATCTTTCTTGAATTTTAATGGAAAGGACAGTCAGTTGAGCGAAGATGAATGAGTCGATGGTTATTAACAAGCAGGACATTCGCACGTACACATGTACACAGGTCTGTGGATAAAATTGATACCATTTGAAACATTGTCCAGTGACCACATTCACAAGGTTTATAGTTGCGAAAGTAAAATGAAGAAAGTGAGAAAGATGTCAACCCAGTATAATTTATGTTTTCATTATTTTGGGTTTTCTTTATTAACTGATGTAATTTTTATTAAAACTATAATATTGTATAATTTCTTCAAATTTTGGTGTTTGAAAATTCGAAAGGTTGAAAGTTCAGTGGCATGTTTTTGTAATCAAATGAATAAGAAGCAAACTGTTTGAAAATTGTGATGAATTAATAAGATTGAAAAACTGACGAGACAAAAAATGACTGCATATAATTTAAAAAAAAATTCAAATTTAATTCCACCCCCATCATGACGTCATCCACAACGCAGACAAAAAACTAAAAATAAGGCATGCCGAATAACAAAGGATGGAAAGATAACTGAACGACGACGGGGTTCCTTCATATTTATTATTTACAATCAACTTCACCCACACATCAACTCTTTCTTTCTTTTTAACTGCTCTCTGCTTGCTATTGTGGTGTGAATGATCGTATAAGCAGATTGCCAGTGAGTGTGTGTACGTATGTGTATGTGTGTTTTTATGTAGGTGTGTATGTATGTTAGTGTGTGTGTATATTATTATGTAAATGTGTGTATATATGCGTGTCTGTGTGGATGTGTATGTGTATGTGTGTGTGCCTATGCAGGTGTGTGCGTGTGTTTTTGCCTGTTATCTAAACAGCCGGAGTAGAAAACTCTTCCTTGTTACACTGCATGTAAGCAATGTTCTTAATAATACTTTCGTTATTTTGTATGAATGTTCATTCATTTGTTATTAGTCTGTTGGTGTTTTTTTGTCGACTTTGGATGCCGTCTTTCAATCAGCTCATACGGCCTGAAGCAGAAGACCTGTCAGATGTTTGAATTGGAAAGAATGAAAAATCTTTTGTAGATATCAGAACTTAAAAATATTAAATTTAAAAATTTAAATTGGAAAGAATGAAAAATCTTTTGTAGATATCAGAACTTAAAAATATTAAATTTAAAAATAAATGAACCAAAAAAATAGAGCTCTGTCAGATGTTTGAATTGGAAAGAATGAAAAATCTTTTGCAAATATCAGAATTTAAAAATATTAAATTTAAAAATTTAAAAATAAATGAACCAAAAAATAGAGCTATTTTTAGAAATAAAAGTAATGTATTTGGACGTTGGAACCAACCTTATCTGTGGGGACCATGAGTAGGTCGTCAGGCGGGTTGGTGATGACGAACCTGTGGGCGCAAGTCGTGTTATCGAGCGGTATGTCGACGTTAACGGACGAATCAGGTGATGATGATGACGCTGGTGGCTGCGTGGTTACTTGTGGTAGTGGTGGTTGTTGTTGTGGCGGTGGCTGCTGTTGATGTTGTGGCTGGTTAAATTCTTTCAATCTGTACAATCCGATGATGAGGATGTTGTATGTTTGAAGTGCAAAGACGAACAAGTCGCCGTATGTCGTCAGTTCCTGTGTGGAAGTTTTGTTCGCTTTTAATCATCCATTCTACAGGAATGTAAAAAGAGTTGTTTCATTTGTTTTAATGATCATTGTATGGAATATCGTACGTATTATATATGACGCAATAATTTTACATTGTACCCTTTCAGAGCAGGTCAACTAACAGGTATTCGATTGAGTGGACTTTGATAGACAGCCATCTGAGCGACACGACACCTGCTTCTCATGGACTGCATGTTCTCATGAGGGTATCCAGGTCTCATGCCCACACCCTCTGCCAGGATCTGCTCTAGTTCTGGAGTAGCTCCTCCAGTTATCAACGTTCTTATCAAGGTCAGGGCGTTGTCGTTGAAGTAGGTCTGCTCAAATGTTTGCAACGTTGTATGAGACAATTATTTCATCATGATTAAAATTAAAAAATATTCTCGTTTGAATTCGTATTTCATATTTAGTGTAAATTCGGCCCAGGTCTTTAAAACAATATCGATGTTTCTTCTTTAAATAGCATGAAAATGTTGAATTAAATTAGAAAAACTGAACTGCGATCGATGAAAATTTTTGAAGACAATGAACACTCACCGTGCTCATCAGAGAATCGAGAACACTGACGGCAAAGGCAGTGCCACACGCAAAGGGCTGCGTCATGTAAAGTTCGGTGTCGGGGTCGTCATCGTCGTCCTGGTCCAAAAACTGCACGTTTGCATCGTTGCCTGCCTCAATCGAATTGTCAACGTCAACATATTTGAATATTTCATGTCACATTCAATATTTTCACACAAAGAGTGACAAAACATTATCAGATCACAAATTCAATTTGTTGTGTGAAGATGAAAAATTTTTAAATCCTCCAACCCAGTTCTGTAATCATGGGGATGCTTGTTCCGTGCACAACTTTCCTTTCGTGGTCTCCAGGTTGGTTGGAAGGCAAAAAAGCTGCGTGGAAATGTTGCAGTGTACTTTTTAAGAGAGTTTCAGAGAACACATCAACATTTGAAATTAAAGTTACAAAAGTCGAAAACTACTAAACTCTATCTGTAAGATAACGTTTTTTAATGTCTCTGAATCTAAACAATGAATAAACAAAAATATAGAAGCTATGAAACAATGATGTTATGAGATGTTTGCTTGAGCTGAAAAATTTAGCAAAGTAACTATAATTCTTTATTGTTCAGTGAGACAGATGTAGCGTGGGAAATTAACAACATAGAAGTTATAACGGTTGAAAAAATAATTCTTCGTCATTACCTACAGTCTGTTTCGATCCTGGAAATAAAATTTATATTTAAATAAATAAATTTAAATAAAAAATACAAATTAAAATAAATAAATTTGAATTTAAATAAATAATTTCAAATTTAAATGAAAAAACAAATTCAAATTTAAATAGGTTTGCATGAGTTGATCGCTTTTATTATTTCTTGCTGTTAGACGAAGGGTAAAACGAACATATATTTGCAGTAAATTTAAATAAACTTCAACATGATATAAAATTATTTCCATATGATGATAATGACGATGACGATGACGACGACGATGATGATAAAGTTGCTAGATAGAAAATAATTAACTAAATTTTATAGCACATTTTCTTTATAACTATTTTAATATCCATACACACAATTTTGGTGGAGATCTTGAAAATGTTCATGTAAGAAAATTCCATTAACATCTTATCTACAATAATTATATAAAGTGCGTTTTTCAATATTAAAACAACTAAATTTTGCATGAAAGAACCAAAACAATGAACCAAGAAATACGACGAGCATGTTTAAAAACGAAACTCCAATTCTTATCATTTAATATTATTAATTATTTAATAAGTTTTATGATGGCCATCCAATTAAGCTGAGTGAACTTCAAACGCCGCACTAACCATCGAACGCCTGATAGATGGCTTGCTGTAGGAGACCAAACGCATCGTCGAAGGACATGGCCTTAATGTTCAGGGAGCAGAGGATAGCTTCCTTGTCCACGAGACTGCCGTCGTCAACGTTCGACTTCGAACTGGCCGACAGAATGACGCACATGTCACACAAGTTGATGTTGACCGCTCTCAGCGAAGCTCTGTTCAACGGAGTGCCCTGCGAAATTAAGAGGTCATTTTTTAATAAACTTGAAGTATTAATAATCGTATAATTTTTTGAACAAAAAATAAATTTTGTAATTTTCGAACTTATTCTAAAGAAATATTTTTAGATTAACGCTCTCTGGTTTGTAACTATTGTTATAAAAAAAACTCTGTCAAAATAGGATTAGTTAATTTGAACATTGAGACCTTTGTAAATGTTGAATGTATGAATAACTCGAAGCTATTGCACCAACGTCAAGAATGAGTATCTTGGGGAAGTTTTGAAGACTCTTCCACTCCTTCCTAATATACTCCTTGTCCCCAACAATCACCACGTGCTTCAGCTCGTCGTACTTGAAGTTGCTGGCCCTCAGGGGCATGATGAGGTTGCGCAGGCCAATCAGGGGAGAGGTGGCCGATGCGAAGAGGCAGACGACAACGTGGGAACTCAAAATTGTTACCGCTGCTTGTTCTCGGTCCTGAGTGGCGTTCAAACGAAACAGTTTTTATGTTCACATGATCACATCTAGAATATTCATATTTTGTTTTCTTGATATATTCGAAGACCTTCATTTCATTCGTAACATTGTTTGCGCGCGTGATATGCTAAGGTCTTGATCAAAATTTAAAGTTGAATGAGACGTAAAAGCCAATCATTCAAAAAGGTAAAAAGTTGAAAGTTCAGACAACAATTGTGATTTCAATTCACGGGCTGATCGTCCAGAGCAAGCAGCTTCAACTAAGCAGACGTAAATATTTTGGAGAATATTTACAAGATATATGTTGCAGGGTACGTGCTACAAGATATATGTTGCAGGGTTGCAATGCACATATGACATCCCACAAAGAGTAATATTACGCAATTGTATCAATACACTGCATGTCTGTTGCGATAACTGGAGCATGAAACAACTTATGAAAATTAAGAAACGTTCTCAGAAGCACTGACAATGATGCAGGAAGCGATGGATTGCGCGGGACACCAGTGAAACATTCCGGTGGAATCGAACTCAGGAGTTGTCACGTTGACGTAAGCTCCGCCCACCTGATGACTCATCAGCATGCCTGGATGGCTCATGCTCGTCGAGGTGGCCGTCGACATGAAGGTGGCAGTGGATGTGGTGGGGGTGTCCTGGAACGCTGACGTCATGTGGGTGCTGTTGGAGTGCTTCATGTTGGGTATCAGTGGTGGGGGTAGTGACGAGGAGGGCATTGTCAAACTTCTGCTGAAGAAATGTCAATGAGAAATTAATAGTCACTATTTTAATTCTCATTTGTCAGCTTTAAAACTTTGTAATACTCTCATTTTGGATGATATTTAATTTCATTCATAAAAATTCAATGTATAAGTTAGGTCTACATCTTTCAGAATGTATTTCATAAATAGTTTGTTAGAAGTAGAAACAACTTGCACTAACATGACATTATTATCCGTGGTGCATATGTTGTTGGCCCTGACGTTGTTCAGATGGGAGGGGTGAGGGCCTGCCATCATCGGGTACAGGTTCTTATTGGGCGCGTTTATGGACGGACTGCCAAGTTGGGGTGTGTGTGAAATTTGGAGGGTTTATTTTGTTGTATGTTAATGAATTTATACAAATAAGTTTTACTACTTAAATCTTTCTAACTGTTGAAAAATACGAAATACTTCAGTTTTTTTTAATATAAAACCCTGTATTTAATATAGGTACCTGAATTTTTTCAAATTTTCACAAAAATCCTATTCAACGATGTGAATAATTCATTGTGAGACAAACTTTAATACATGCATTCATATGCATTCGAATGAACTTAACAGCAAACACAATACAAATTGCAAACAAAATATATTTAACATTTTCAATTTTCACAACAAACACAAACGAAATGAAATAAAAACGTCTTCATTCATAATTAAGAAGACTTTCAACATTATCCCAGCAACCGTATTTTCATACAGAACTCCTACCAGATGGCAAAGAAGGCAATGAAGTTTTATGTGGTACCGTTGAAATGCGTGCATTAGCACATGTAAGTATGTTTTATTTGAAGATTGTTCTTCTTTCCACAAACACGTGAGATGTTTGTTGGCTGGCATGTTTAGTTACAGCGGACTTAAATAAGATAAAACACAAAATTGGTCGGTTGGTTGATTGGTTGGTTGGTTTGTTGATCAGTTCGTTGATTTGTTGGTTGGTCGGTTAGTTGGTTGGTTGGCTGGTTAATTGATTGGTCGGCTGATCGGTTGGTTGGTCGGTTGGTTAGCAGAATGAATAAGGATGCATACATTTACGTCAACAATTTTTGCAACAATAAATCAAACAGCGTGAAAAAAAGAGGCGAGCACAGAGAAAACGAAATGCATCCTTGCAACAACACGTCAAAAGTTGCTACCGACCGTGAGTGAGGTATCATCAACTATAACACTAACAACAACGCATACGTCAACCTGAACAGAAAACAATAAAAAACGGAACGAACACATAAACAACAACATCAACCACACAACTGTAACAACAGCAACAACGACATCAGCCACACATTAACAACAACAACAAACAAACAACTGCAACAACAAAACAAAAACAATTACAACAACAAAAGCCAAACAACATTAAAAACAAAAAAATAGAAAAACAACCACAATAGCAACAACAACATTAGCCAAACATCAAAATAACAACAACAACAAAACAACAACATAAGTTACCACAAAACGTCAAAGTGAAAAAACCACAAAAGTTATAACTATAAGCAAAAAAACCCCAACGGTATAGACAGCAAAAACATCAAAAACACTAAAAAACAACAACAACAATAACAACAACAATAATAACAACGAACAGTTGTGATAATGATCCGATTCTACTCTGCCTTCTACCAGATGTCGGTGACTTCGTGCCGAGTCTTTGAAAAGGAATGCTACCTGTGTTGCATGGTCATCATTGTGGTTGTTACTTGCTCTTGTTACTGAGTTGTTGTCATTGAGTCGTTGTTGATGTTATTGTTATGATGTTGTTGTTATGATGTTGTTGTCACTGAATCGTTGTTGATGTTGTTGCTATGATGTTATTTTTATTGAGTTGTTGATGTTATTGTCACTGAGTTGTTGTTGATGTTGTTGTTGTCATTGAGTTGTTGTTGATGTTATTGTCATTGAGTTGTTGTTAATGTTATTGTTATAATGTTATTGTCATTGAGTTGTTGTTGATGTTATTGCCATGAGTTGTTGTTATTCTTCTTTGAAAAAATCACAATCTGACAGACGAAGAACCTTTTACAACATGCAAGACAATGTTATAAAAAAATACTTAGTTAAAAATTATCATATATGGAGAACAATTTAAAGACTGATTAAAAATAATGAGTTAATTAATAAATTAATTAGTTATTAAATAAATAATGATATGTCGATGATGAAGACGATAATGATGTTTATAATGATGACGACGACGATGACGATGATGATAATGATGAAAGCAAAAATACTGGTATAAAAATACAAAAACGTGTTACCATAATTAAAAGCACTGAAAAATTATTTCTCAGTTATTAGGATGTTTCGACAGCTTTCACGTTAATTTAAATAAGATTCACATACAAATGAGCGATTGAACGTCATCTGACGTAAGGGTGATGGAGTTGATGACGTCACGAAACATTGATGACGTCATGTAAAATTGATGACGTCATGAAACATTGATGACGTCATGAAACATTGATGACGTCATGTAAAATTGATAACGACATGAAACATTGATGGTGTCATAGAACAATGATATGAATGCTTGCAGACCTCTGTTGTCCCTCCAGAAGAAACTCTCTTTGTTGTGGATTAGTGTCAATTTTTTGCCGGCAGCTGTGCACGTTTCGGAAAGAGAATTGATGGGATGAGGTTGAATTTGATAGCGAAAAATAATTGATTATTATGGAAGAGTAATATGCAGAATTATTGACTAACTAAAAAGTGTCTTTGAAATTATCCCATTATTAATTATAATGGAACTAGAGTCGCAACATTTTGACAGTTCAATTTTTAATGGGCGATATTGCACGAAGTAAACATAAGAACAAATTCGTTTCAAACTATGAATTCAGTCATCTATATAATAACATGGATTTAATCAATAAATAATAAATATTGGATAACCTATAATGGATATAAACAACCAGATAGTGAATGCACGTTTTATAAAAATTTCAACATCAAAATCCAATAACAATCAGATGGAAAGATAAGAAGAAAAAAAAGACGGATGAGAACGGAGAGGGGAAAAGAGAGAGAGAAGAGAGAAAGAGAGAGAGAGGAATACTCACTTCCTTTGCATCGGCACTTCTTAATAAGTTTGATATCAGTGACAGAGCCATGGCACATCTTGCAGTAATAAAAGGCTCTGCATTTTGGAAAGCAAGAATAAAAATTCGTTCATGTCGCACTTGCCTTGGTAGGCTGTTAATATCATTTGCATCGACTTTATGGGGTGTCATTTTTAAAGCAAAATTTTGATTGATGCAACTGCATGGCTAGATGAGAAAAATCAATTTCGCATTATCTTCAATACAACAGTGCATCAAAATTTCATTTTCATCCATCAAAAATTTAATATCCTATCAAGTTTTATTGGAAATTTACAACATGCATCATATAAAATCATACACAATCATAAATCCATCATACAATCATATACAATCACGACATAATGGTTGGCCCCATTTCATTCCAGTTCATCCCATTTGGAGCATGGACGCACCTCTTGACGTCGTCAGCCGACTCAGCAATGAAGAACCCCTGTGTGCTGCAGTCGATGACCACTTCAGGGCCAGGGTTGATGGACAGACAGCTCTCCTTGCCACAGTCTGACTTGCTCTCGATGGCGATCAACAGCAGTTTCAATTTTGTGAAGCACAACCTGGGATGTCAAGCAAGTTATTAAAAAACTTCTATTAATAGAATTTTTTTTACAAATTGTTAAAATTTGAACGCATTTTTCAAAATCATTATTTTTAACAGATATTCGAATTGAAAATTAAAGTTCAGCAAGGTAAACAAGCGCTATATTAATTTAAATACAAATAATAAGTCTAATAATAAATAAAAATGTCACACATATCGCGGACCATATAACCACAAACACTATGACAAACTCGTTTTGTACATTTAAAAAATTTCATTAAAACAAATAGATGCCTTAACAATATTCATCAGATTGTAAATAGAAACATCAGTTAACTACATGTGAATTGACTCTATTCACATGTATGCAATATCGATATGAGAACTTTTAAAAGTTAGACGAAAATTCATGAACGTAGGATGAAGAATGATTATTAAACACAAGGACATGTCACTTTCATCATTTCAAAAGTGGTGGAGAGATGCTTAGTAAATTAGAATCATTGCCAAGGTTGTAGTTTTAATGCATTTTCAAGTCAAAATAAAAATTTATAATCAATTTGAAACTAATATTAATATTATTCTTTCCACACTCATTTCATTCCCTTCGTTCGTTCAGAAGATGAAATCAATCAGAATCTCATTAAATTGTAATCTTTGAAGAGAATGTTACACAGAAGATGTAATGATATTTATGCAGGCAGGACTAAAAATCAGCTGCTTTTATCGCTTTTCATTCGAAATAACTTTTGCAATTTTAGGTGTTCAGTTAGGGTTCATTTTATTTTATTTTGCGTTTGATTTTTCGTTTTTTTTAATATTTTTCTCACATTACCACGTTCGATACTGTTGCATCCAATTTTTCGGCGCACTCCTAGTGCTAGTGCGACTTTTGAAAAAAAATTCGCTTCTCAAAATCTTTTTTTTGGCACTTGCTTCATTCACTCCTGGATAACCGCATGTTGCGACTGTGTATTATTCCAGCATAGAAAAATAAATTGTAATGCAGGAAACAATATGTCGAGAGAGAGAGAAAGAAAGAGAGAAAGGGAGAGAAAGGGAGAGAAAGAGAGGGGGATAGAGAAATGAAGAGAAAAAGAAAGGAAGAGAGAGGAAAGAGAGAGAAGAAATGTAAAAACAAGTTTCTTCTTATATAATATTTGTCATATATATCACGTGTCAACTTGAATGTTACATCAATCTGGTACAGATAATCTTTACAACCAGCCTATCATAATTTGATTGATTGATTGATAGAATGAATCAGCTTCTGGATTGATTATATAAAATACAAATTTCTAATACACACTAACAATTTGAAGGTTTTTTTTAACTATTTTAGCTATCTCAAACAATCCAAGTATGAGAATTTTAATTAGTTCTTACACTATGAAAAGTCATATTTGAATGAATAATAATTTCGTGCATGGATTCAACAACTTTCAAATATTTGCCAGTCGAAACTTACTGGGCGGCCTCTGGAAAAGACAACCCGTTGAAATCAGCAGATAAACTTTCCGTGTACATCTCCATGCCCGTCCCTCGCATGTAATCGTTCTGCCATTGCGGGGTTGTCAGGGACTGTTGAAGGGGTGTTACGAGGTTCGTGGTTGTGATATAAAAACAGTTAAAACAGAATTACATTTTCATAAATTGTTAAAAAGTTTGTAACACGTTCGCCATGAACCCTCAAATTTCACCAACAACATTACAAACTACGTATATCAAAATTACTATGCTAAAAAAAGACCACCACAAGAATTAACAACAGACTAACAATTTTATAAGATCTCATGGTGAATAAATTAGCCATGAGTGTTGAGAAGCCCGGAGCCAGACAGCTCTGCGCGATGAAACCAAGCTTCAGTTCCGCCAGGCAGACAGCGTCGTCCCCTCTCTTCCAGTCCCAACTTGGAATGTTCAACAGATAAGCCTGCAATGCAGACAATGCATCTGGTTCGTACTTCAAGTTGTAGCTTTTCAGAGGAAGATTATGCGCTTGGCAAGAAGGTCGTAGTTAGTGTATAAAAAATGTTATTGTAAACATAAATTAAAAATACTTTAAAAGAATGTCGGTTGATAACCAACGGACAAATTTTAAATGCCGAAACCAAGTTACTGCAACCTTGAGAAACGCTGCAAGAAAAGAAGTTCAATGGAAAAGCATGTAAGCAAGAAATGAAAGAGACGACCTTGTTGTGGTATTGAAGCAGCTGGATGATGACCTTGGTGTCGTCGTCGTAGTTCTTGATGGAGATGACCCTCATTATGTTGGCAGCGTCTTCGGCGTCAGGGTCCTCGCAGTATTTGTTGGCCAAGACCAAACATGCGTCCGCCTCTTTCACCTGCATCGTTCAAAGCCAGTAAGTGATCAATGTGCTTTGATTATAAATTACGATAGGTGGAGAATTTTTTTATGATACTTTCATAATACTTTGATACGTCTATTCATTCATTCAGTAAATAATTCCATTCTTTTATGCGTATAAATCTAATGTCACGTTTGGTCCGGTTTTTTCTAATCAATCATCCATCAGCAATGATGCCATTGTGAGCGTAAAACGATTTAAAACGCCAGTTACAACCAACAGAACTATAATTAATGTAAGAACATGCAAATTAATATCCGGACAACATAATATATTTAAACAAATGCTAATGAGAAAATTGTGAAAGAAACGCATTAATAAATATTAAATTGCGACAAATTGAAAATAAAAGTATAAGCAACATGTTGAAAATCCATCGGAATAATACAAAACAAATAGCAATTGTACATGAAAGGCAGTTTGTATTCATTATTCAGTCAGTCTGCACTTAATGGTCTCGATGGGCTTCATTCAAGCTGGGCGGCACTTATCGAAACTGGCGATTGAAAATGTTTTCTCTACAACTCAAGAGAATTCAGATTGAATTGAATGAAACTGACTATTTCAAAGCTGACTACTTCAACAAATGTATATACACGTGGCGTTTATGTAAGTCAGACAGAGGAAAGATGTTATTTTGGTTTAATGTTTAATGAGGAATTTTGGAAGTCGGAAATGTTTCGAATGCTTTTGGAGGTGGATGAATGAGGTGGAATCAATAAAGAACTTGTTTGGCTTGCTGACATATGTGTGTAAATGTGTCTGAAATTTGCGATATGTATCCCTATAAAATAAAATTATTTATAACATTGTGTAAAATTTGTAACTTATTGACACATACGTTGTGTAAATCATTTAATAGTGTGTTTCGGTGTTTTTGTGGTTATGGTTTAAAACCTGGTATGTAAGTTTTAAATGGAGTTAAATAGTTCAAAATAAAATTTATTCAACGAATATTCTCTTTTTGTTTGAGGGTCTAGCAAGGCCTAAATTGAAATACAATGTCGATGGAGTGGAAGTATTGATCGCAGCATTTGAATAAAACGTTTTCAAGTGGTTCTACCTAGTAAATGTAGAATGTAAAATGTAATGTGCGCGAGTGATGACAGACGATGATGACGAATCATCATCTCATTTTCATAACGACAAATGCAAATAAATAAGTATTGATGTTGCTACATTTAAAAAACAGTTACATTCAGCATATGTGAAAATAAATATTTAAAATGTGGCATTTTAAAAATATGAGAACAACATTTGAAACCTGCTATCAAAACTCTGGCAGATTATTTTGAAAAATGAAAACAATGAAGTCGAAAAAAACGAAACCATACAAGGAACGTGTCAAACCAGCTTATACTTGTTTCCTTCAAAATCAACCACCGTAGTAAACTGTATTCTTTCTTTGTTGTGGCAACGATGATACAGATATCAAACATTCGAACCAAAGTTACGGCGATGATGGCACTCGCAGAATATTGAAACATACAACGTGCAACTCCATTTGCGCCTAGGTCGGTCTTATTCGTTAACATAACAAAAACTTCTAACAGCGTCATTTTGCTTTTCGACAAAAATGCTACAAACATTGATGACACTTAACCTTCTATTACAAAAGGGCTTAGCTAAGCAAAGGGGTGGAGTTTGGCTGTATCACTCACTATGAATTTTTTTGCAATTTTTGTTTTTAAAATCATTTACACAAGGAATCGATAAAATGTGTGACAGTGAAAAAATGTCAATGTGTGTTTTTCAGGCTGCAAACTCTAGCACCGCCGCACATTTCCAGCCACGCCAACTCACTGCAAGTCCCACGGCAATTACGTACGTATCGTTGTAACTCATCTGAGTTAGCAGGCAGTAACGTGAACAAACAAATACACAAAATTCCAATTATGAAACTATAAAATCACACAGAAACAAACACACACACACAAAAACATACAAACATGCAATTATAGAAGCGAACTTATACAAAATGCAGAAGAATGTCGACCTGGATTAGCATTGCACACACGAATGGATAGATGCTTTAATTGGAACTTTCATTTCCTCCTTATCGAATCAATAAATTATGCATCCCATGTCTGTTGTATAACGCCAATAGAGAGCTTTAGTTCTAATTAGTATACGGGTTGCAGCATCGGAGCGCACGGAGCACAATTTATCGTTAGGAAATAATTGCCTCAATTAATATATGAATGCATTCAGCTATCCAATCTATTTCCATCATTCATACTGCAAATAGTGCAGAAGCAAGGGCAGGTAGAAGATGCGGATGTGATCAAGTCGGACGTCTTCCATAACTTGAGGTAATGTTGATTGGAGAAAATAGAGTTGTACATTGGACATAATTAGCGTGCAAGAACAAACACACTACACTTCCATTATAAAACTGTAAAAACACTACACGCACACACATGCGCGCGCGCACACACACACACGTGTAAATTATACTGAGCAAACATATCGCGGAGGACACCGCACAAACAAGTTCGAACCCCACTTGAGCAAATATGCAATCAATCGTAAACCTGCGGAAGCAATAGATTAAGTTGTTTGCACGCGTGTGAGCACACAGCAGATGCTCCTCCACTGGACTGCAAGACGGACTGAATTGTATAGCGGAGTAATTGCAAAGCCAATATTTACTTAGACCGTTTGTGCTCGCATGCATTTGCTTAAGAATTTGCAGCTGAGTGACTTGAGTGTAAGAATATCATTGGTTGGCTGGCGTGTTATGAACTTGTCTTACTAAGATAATTAATGTTTAAATCATTATTACAAATTATCTAGAATATTTTACTTTTTTATCCAGCACTCACGCAGTACATTCATCTTTCATTTTCAAAATTATGAAGGTATCAATGTTCTCGCTTGCATAGCGAGGATGTAGAAAATGTTAGCATGTACAACAAAATGTACTGTGTATTTGTACAGTTCATGAGTACGATACATCTGTGCAGGACATGTGTACTATACATCTATAGAGTTTTTCTGTACGATATATTTGTACATTGCGTATCAAACGAACGCATGGGCCCCACTGTCATTAATCATCTTCCTTTCATACTGTCTTCCTCTTTTAAGCAATGTCGATTTTCAACGCCACGAAGTTTACAGTGCCAGCACGAAACGAACACATTGAAAAATAATGGTGTGTCTTTTCTATATTATAAACTTTTGTTGTTTTTTATTAACTTAACTTCTGTAATGTTGAAGAAAGATTTTCACATAATTAAAAATAAACAATAATATTTTTTCCCAGTAAGTCAAGGATGAACATTTGAGATGATGATGCATGCCGACAGGTTGGCGTGGGTGCTGCTGCTGCAAAAATTGTTTTGAACTTCTAATGTCGAGTTAATTCGTCATTTTGTTATTTTGAAAAGTATTTTTTGAAAATATGTGCTTCTGTCTGCAAGACATTTTGAGGCTTCACCATTTAGCATCAATGTACCAAAAAATATGGGCCAATGTTTTGAAAAAATACATGAAATAAATATTAACAAAAAATAACTAGCAACATTTTTGCAAGTACATATTTGAACGTTTAAATGCGAATGGAAATTATGAAAATGTTGATGCTAGAATATAATTTTAAAGAATAAGTGACAACATTTTTTTTCTGTTTCTATGAACTTGTTGAATAAAATTGAGTAGTTTCAATCAAGCCAACACATAATTGCTAATCCTCAGTGTATTAAAAGGCAATCATTTATAATTTATTGGTAAAAAAACATTTCTTTATGTATACAAATCTAAAGATGTAGTATTTTAAAAATCACAATAAACTATAGTTTTCATTTACAAAATTGAAGAAAGCAGGTGTCAGTTCGTTCTGAAGTGGACTTAGACCGGCCAATTATGTTTGTTGAAGGCAGTCGTTGTGTTGTCTCATTATACACAGCGGTATGTATATGTGTGTGTGTGTGTGTGGTGTGATGTGTGTGGAGTGTGTGTGTGTGTGTGTGTGTGTGTGTGTGGGTGTGTGCAGTTTTCAGTCCTCCACGTCTTGAGATAATTGGTTTTTAACAGTGGTCGATTATATTTTGTCATTTTAAAAATAAATATTTAATAAATCTAAAAAAATGTTAATTTGTTGCTTGCATGCATGAATAGAATATTAACAACTATATCACTTCAAATGATTAGAACGTTCAACTTTTGAAATTAATGTTTCAAGATATACTTCAGCCCAAATGCAAACACAAGTTGACTGGCAAGTCGGATAAACCGCAATATCTATTTCACAGAGTAATGCTGAGTATAGCTTGATGAAAACAAATAACAACAACCTAAACACCAACAACCATGTTGAAATTTTCATCTTGTTGAGTGTTGTGATGGTTTACAGTGATGTCTAAAGTTTTGGAGTAACATTTGTCTCCATTATAACATGCCTAATGAAAATGTTTATATACAATAGAATTTACGATTATTGAAGACATCAAATGCTTGTATTTTTAAATATCCCATTTTTATTGTTCAGTTTCATTCATTAATGTAATAAATAATAATACAATGAATTATACATATAATTCCGTTTTTATTTGTAAAAGTAACCTGTAAAATATTGGATAAAGAAAATTTAATAGTATATTAAATAATGAGGCGTTGAGTCGACAAACGAGCTTGTACCAGTTTACCAAAGGACTCCTCCGTTACTTCGGTTTTTAAATTAATTAGAACAGTGGAGGATATTGTAGTGCGGCAGAAAGGACAAGCGCTTTTCTCTGCCATGCACTTCCTCGCACAGCCAATATGGAAGGCGTGTCCGCATTGGAATTCCATCAAGAAAGTTCCTTCCAAAAAAGGATCCAGACACACTGGACAATCATCGTAAAACAGCTTTTCTTTCCAACACGGGACTTTGTATATTCTGTTTTCAACCTGTGTGTTATAAAAAGTATCCGTATGAATGATTTTCGCATCAATATGGACATCATTAACTCTAATGCTGAATGTTTCAGGTTCAATTGAAGTGACTGTTGCAGCTTTTAAGAAGTAGGCATCCTGCATGTCTTTCAGAAGTTTGTATACACTGGCAATCGATAGGAGGCGGAATCTGGAGACCCAGTTTCCATCTTCGTGATCAGCTCCGTACGACATGAGAAAGTCTGATACCTCTTCAACGTCCTCGTCAGACAATCCATGCTTAATATTATAGTTTTTTAGAGTGCTCCTGTAAATGTCTTTAGTCAAATTTCGTTCTTTCACTCTGAAATGTTGGATGTACTCTGTAACGTTACGTTTCACCCACTCATTCAAATCAAATCCTGAATTCTCCATAGTTAAAAATGCTTCATGAATATTCTATCAGTAGTTAGTGAGAAGTGCCCATCGGCTGTAACTTGCATCACTTATATAGGTGCAAGTACGATTTTTACAATCTTTTACAACATATGAAAAATTAAACTTTGGACTCATTTTACTGAGGTAAGAATTACTACAAAAAATATTTTTACAATTTCCAAAATAAAACTTTGATGGCACACAAAGGCTTGCAACAAACAAAAATAATTGAAGTAACAACTCATGGGACGCATTGTATTGCCATGCAATGTGTATTAAGATTTCGTAAATGTACGAAAACATTTCCAAGCCAAATGTCAGGAGGTAAAAATGTGACGAACATCTCTACAAAACCATTAACCCGATTAGTTTTGCATTTGAATTTCTTCCAAAGACGTTAAAAATGTATCATTGTTGCATGTTTGCTGTTTGGCACGTTGTGTCTGATGTTGTGATAGTAGTTTAAAAAAAAAGTGGTCCATTTCTTCACAGATGTTCTTACCACAAAATTTCTGGAAGGGGTTTATTTTAAAGAGCACAAACTTTTTCATCTGCATCTATCTGGAGATCTGAAGAATGAAAACATATTTTTTTTCTGGTGTCTGTTGTCATAAATGGTAGATGATTTTCAATTTTGAAATTTGTGTGTTAACCTATTCAAAAAAGGAAATTTTTTAAAATATTCATTGTATGCTTCGGTGTCACACTGTTTCAATAATGTTGGAATCGCTTAAAAAGACTTTGCGAATTTATTCAACGTAAAATAATCAAATGTATATTCTGGTCTGAAAGCGTCGTCTAAGAGGATGTTCTGGATTCACCTACCTACAAACATACAGGGCACGCACACCGCACATCATAATGGGCTGAGAGACATGAAGGAAGAGTTTCTGGTTTTGTATCCAATGACGACTCCGATACCAATACCTTACCAATACAGCATTTCACCATTTCGTAAAACTATATAGGGTACGTATACATGTATAATACATAAATATATAACTTCATTTCAACTGTTTCCTTAAAAATAAACATTTAATACAAACAAATATTTATTAACTTCATACAATATCGTTACATTGGAATGAGCCATGTAGATAGAAGAATAGATTCAAGCTGAATTGTATATTTATGTGTGCATGTGCATATATGAGTGTGTGTGATTAAAAATTTTGTGTGTGTGTGCGATTGTATATTCATGTGTGCGTGTGTATGAGTGATTTTATATTTATGTTTGCCATTGTGTGTCTGTAATTGTATAATTATGTGTGTGTGTGCGCGCGCGCGCGTGTGTGATTACATATTTATGTGTGTGCATGATACATATGTCTCTCTCTTTCTCTGTATGTGTGTGTGCGTATGTTTGTGTGTGTTTACGTATGAAAGACAAGCAAGTAAATCAAGTAAATATTATTGCATTTGCAAACAAAAACGTAATTAAATGAAATGTTATTGGATGAAATTGTAATTGAATGAAGGAGGTAGGCGACAAGCGAGGGCTTAACAGACAAACAACCATACAAACAACCATACAAACGGACAGACAGACAGACAGACAAACAACCAAACAAACAAACGAAGAAACAAACCAACAAAAAAAGTTTTTTTTCAAAATCATTGTTTGAAAAATGTTGGAGACTATGTGTTAATTTTTTTTGTAATGTCAAAAGAAAAAGGGACACGCATTTCAATCTTAACACGATACGCTTTTATCTTTATAAACGCTTGAAAGACATAAGATCTGCAATATATTAAAAAATCTTTTAAGAATATTTTTTAAAAATCTGGATTAAAACAAGATTACGATACCACCTGTTTTGGATGATTGGAAGACAAAATGCACACGTAAGTTAATTTTAAAATTTGGTAATCGCTAGTTTTGAGTAAAAAGAAATCATTCTTGGAACAATGTAATAATAAGTTCAATTCTTATATTACTAAAGATCTTTGATTATACTGAATATGCTTCTAACATCATTTTTTACTATGATATCCCTAAAATGTTAATTTTTTTCAGAAAATCTTCAACAGCAAGAAACCTTGTAAAATAATGATCCATTTTTGGCGAAATTTGAATGTAATAGGACAAACTGTTCAATTTCTTTGTAAACTAATGGTCATATTGAAAATTCATTCAATATAAAAGGAATTATATATATAATTCTGTAAAGTAACTATTATTAGAGTAACATGTAAAATTTTGGAAAAAGAAACATCAATTTGAAAGACATTATCGTAGTAATAATGAATTCGAATAACCCAAATTAACTCTGTTTTTTTTGAAATAATTAAATAAGTGACAA